GTACACTTAGTTCACTGTTTTTTTTTTTTTTTTTTTGTGCGTGCATCTTCTGCTTCTCTCTTTATGGGACAATATATTGGATTGGCCTCCCTTCTTGATGAATATAGTGAACAATAATAATATATAAGCGAATATATATTTTTTTTTTTTTTTTTTCTTGTGATTAATGGTACTTTTTATGGTTTTTTAGGATTGTAGTTTTATGGTAAGGGTTAGGTTGAGGAATGTGTGTTATGCTAAGGTTAGATAATGTCTCCAGCAATGCATGTTAGTCATATGTAATGTCCCCTTGAAGTGGATGGTGGTTGTGTGTGTGTGTGGTGTGGGTCGCTGTGGGTGTGTTGTGGTGGTGTGTGTGTGGTGGTGTGTGTGGTGTTTTGTGTTTTTTTGTGTGGGTGTGTGTGTGTTGTGAGAGATCCTCCACATCCTTCCTGTGTGTGTGTGTGTGTGTGTGTGTGTGTGTGTGTGTGTGTGTGTGTGTGTGTGTGTGTGTGCTGCCGCCCCCGTCCACAGCAGTGCATTGCTTTGCATCCACTGGAACTCCTGTTTCCCCAAAAGGCGAAAAACCTCATAAAACCCAACTTCAAACAATCCAAACTCCCTTTTAAAATGTGAACAAAACCAATATTGAACACTTAATTTGTTCTCTTTTATCTATAAAGGTTGAAATTGTGTGCAATGGTTTTACTTTTTACTGTCTATCAAGACGGTGCTTCTGCTCATTGGTTGCTTTGCATGTTATTTATCATTGAGCTTCACTGCCTCAATGACTGAAGTGTGACGATCCACTGCATGTACGGGATGTGTTTCAGCCGTCTAAAATCATTTCTCATTTTCAGTTGCTCTATGGAAACATGTGGATATTGTGGGTGTTTTGTTTTCTTATTTCGCCTGTGTCATGCTACCACTTATGATTTGCTGGTAATCCTTCAGAGTTGGTTAGTTCCTCACCCCTGGGTTCTTCCTCCCTCAGCCAATAAGGTGTCTCCTACGTCGTCCAGCGGGGTGATCCATGTGTACGGAGACGACGGCTCTGAGAAAAGCACCGGCAGCTTCATCCCGTACTGCTCCATGGCTCAAGCCCAGCTGTGTTTCCATGGACACCGCGATGCTGTGAAGTTCTTCGTCTCTGTGCCCGGTAAGCACAAAGCCAGACTGTAGCACTTGCATGTGTCCATACCTGAATAAATTCTGTAGTTTTGAACCTGTTTTTGTTCCACAAGGTAATGTCCTGGCCACGCTGAACGGCAGCGTGCTGGACAGCCCGTCGGAGGGTCAGGGGTCAACAGCGCCCGCAGAGACGGAGACTCAGAGCGTTCACAACGTGCTGGTGCTGAGCGGAGGAGAGGGATACATCGACTTCCGCATAGGTGAGCAATTACTCCTGCACATGATCCTCACGACACACACACACACACACACACACACACACACACACACACACACACACACACACACACACACTTACACTTACACAAACACACACCCTTACACTTACACAAACACCCTCAGTGAAACTTTAGGATGCGGCAAACCACTGGGTTCTGACAAAGTATAAAAAAAGACCTGAAAGGGATTGTGTACTTCCAATATGGTAACTTTAATAATAGTAATAAGACCTATGTTATATACATATATGTTTAGTTGTGTAGTTATACCAATTGTTTCCATCGATGATTTTAGTCAAGGTTGCAGTATGTTTTATGTGGTCAAACTAAATGGCGTCTTATCCCCCTTAATAAGAGGGCATCTGCCACTCATAAATGTACTTTTCAAATAATGTATTTATGTTTGTTATTATAATTCTCAACATCATCAACTACTGTGTGATTAAACATTGTGATAAAAGCCCAATTGTATTTACAAATGTCCTTTTTTTTAGGTTACTCCTTCTGAAAATGAAACACTTCTTTAACATATCGTCAACACAATAATGTTTACTGTTGTTATTGTGAAGTTAGATCTCTAAAGTATTCTGTTTATGTTTCCCCTCAGGTGACGGCGAGGACGATGAGACGGAGGAAGGAGACGCTGCTGTTGCCGTGGCTACTGGAGCCTCGCAGGTCAAACCGGCTCTGTGTAAAGCTGAGCGCAGCCACATCATCGTGTGGCAGGTGTCCTACATCCCTGAGTGACACACCAACACACACACACCAACACACACACACACACACACACACACACACACACACACACACACACACACACACACACACA